GTCCGTTATTACACTCTTAAATCCTACTACTTATTCCTGCGTCTTTTGGGATCTTACAAAGCTTCAAACAACGCGTCGACTATTAAATCAGTCGTCAACGATTTTGATAGTCGACGTAATCGTGACTATTTGAATAATCGTGGCAGCCCTATCTGCCAAAAACCTCACTTCATGCTTCTAGCACAAGCTAGATTCTGTAATACCGCAATCACGACTTACAGACACCTGCACTCCTTCCAGCCCACTTTAACCCCTGAGAATAAAAGCTATAGATGACCCAAAGGTAATGAGTCCCCAATTTTTTGAAAATGTAGGGAATAAAAGTAAAAAGTTGTCATAAAAATAAATGCTCACGTAAAGTAGAGATACCTAAAAAAAATTCTACTTAAGTACAATAACAAAGTATTAGGACTGTTCTTTCCCACCATCTGTAGACTGGGCTTTGATTGACAGGTGTGCAATAGGTGCCGGACTTCACCTTCACCTACTCGAGTAACTGAACTGCTTACATTGACATGTATTCTGTTACTCCCAACACTGATCTTATGCTAAAGGAGGTAGTCAAGGAAGCACTGAAGCTCCCTCCCTTAGTATTGGGGAATTTGGAAAACACTGTAGTGTGATGTTTTTTGTATAAAGCTTCTGTACCCACTATGGTCTCACTCTCCTTCAATATTTGTTTATGTAAATGATGCTGCCAACAATTCCTACCTTGGTTTGAATTTTTTGTTTTTATTTGGGCTTTGCTGGGATAAAATTTACATAACAAGTTTAGATTCTGATAAAAGCTACTTTAAGCCACTCCCTTACTCACATGGCTTTCCCACAACATTAATACTATTGATACTTTGCTCTATAAAAGTTTATAAGCTATATTATTTTATACATTTGTCTTGTTGTTACAACTTACTCAAATGCTGATTTATGAATGTCATAAAACAAGCTTATAATTTGTATTTCCTTTAAGTGTGTGTGTGTGTGTTTTACCTGTTTAATAAATCGCAAATCCTCCAAGGTCTATGACATGGCTGCTCCTGATCTTTGCTGTCAGATGCAGATTTGTGTGAGGTAAAATGCAGATTGCAGTCAATTGAGTTCTGTTTTCTTATACCCACCAATTCAAACATATAATCCTAGCCATGGTGGCTGCGAG